GTCGCTCTAATTCTTTCACAGAACTCTTCCGTCTGGAGTCCCAACGATTCCTTTCTTGTAATGAAAAGGTTACTAGTATATATATAGTTTGTTTGTGAAATCAACCTGTTACAACAATAATGATTTTAGAAGTAGTTAAAAATAATAGTTATTTTTGTTTAGAAACATTATGAATTTTTACCATTCTTCAAATGTATTATTCAATAGGTTATGCTGTGGGATCCTAAAATTAAGGTCTTCTGTGGAGGCGCTCTCCTGAATGAACGGTGGGTAATAACAGCAGCCCATTGCTTAATATCAAAGAATGTTGACTGGCCGAATGTGAGGGTGAAGCTTGGAGAACACGACCAATATGAAGAAGAACCAGAAGAATTAGTTTTACCAATTTATGACAAAATTCCACACCCCAGCTTTGACCCAAATACTTTCGATAATGACATTGGTCTTATTAAGCTACCAAACATCATCAACTTTAATGATTATATAATCCCGATTTGCTTGGGCCACAGAGAACAACACGAGGAATATTTTTTTAACCATCAAGACCTGAGAATGGGAACAGTAACTGGATGGGGCCAACTCAATTGGAAAGGACTTCAGCCACGATTTCTTCGTGAAATCAGAATACCGGTTGTTGAAGATTCCATATGCATAGCCTCGACTATCTACAGGGTACGCAAGTTTTTCTTTCTTTTAACAAGTGGACTTAAAATTTTAGAAAAAATAGCACTAAAAATGCTTGTGGTATCTTTAAATTCTCTTATTACAGAATTTACGAATTACGTCTGTTCCTGGACTTGCCATCTGACAATGAGTTATACCAGTTCCAGGAAACTCCAAACTCTCATCAGTAAACCTACATAAGGTTATAATTAGTTTGAACTGTTTGCTCTTTATTCGGCACAAGTGTGTCTTATATTATATTAGTATTTGAAGTAAGTGGATAAACTGTGTAAGATAACGAAATTAATATTTTTTCTCATCACCAAAATTGTAAATTACTTCAGACACCAATAGGGGTTTCTTGTGGCGAGTAAAGAACAATATTCTAACATCCTACACAAAACAAGGCTTATTGGTTCAGTGCTATTTTTTTTTATAACTTGCCAAGTTGTTTTCTATATATTAGCCTCCCCAGCCGATCCATTGATTTTGAAATAGCTGTTACCGAAGAGAAGGGAGTACTTTATTAAATCACGTTAGATTACAAAAGAAGTTAAATATTGCAATGCACTGTTTTAAGCTGATTGATTGTTGGGACCATAATTTAAGACGTGGTCAAGTTATTATAGTGAATGTTATTTGGGTTTTTTTCGTATTATTTTTAAACCTGATTCTGAGTATTTGAAAATGAAACATCTTTACGTCAGACATTTTTTTTCTTCTGTTTGTGCTGTATTTTTTGAATTTAAACTCAGCTGGCTTTTTTCCATAGAAAATTTAGCTATCTATTGAAAACCATCTGAATTAATAGCAAGCTGTTGACAAGCGAATTAAACTAGTATAACATTTATAATCAAGCAGTGTAATATTATTGTAAGATTTAACTTTTCAAACCCTAGGATGTATAACAGGGGTCTCTTGGACCTAGCCGCTAGCTTTTTTATTTACCAATTGTTTATTTCTTTAGCTACCTGTTAAATATCGCTAAAAATATCTACTCGTGTTCAACTTAGGAAAATTATAAACGCCCTGTGTTTACTACTTCATTTACGAAGTAGAAAGTATTATAATAAAGTATGATCAAACCATATTTTTGTATACTTAAACAAAAATCCAAGTGGCTTTCGTCTTCTGTTTAAGTTCAAGTTTAATTAATCAATATGTTATGTTTATAGCAAATAACGTATTTTTTTATGTAATGTAATAAGGGGTCCGTAGGACCACTACCATCTATCTATGTATAGTTTGTTATCCATGCATCTTAGGGTTAAGTTCGTCATTTTTATTTACGTAGTGGAGCAAAATAATTTTCTAAACCACGGAGTGCGAAATGTAAATCAAGATTCTCAATTTATTAAATCTAACATATTCGTTTTTTTTCGCTTTGATACAAACTATAAAAATATGTTGCACTATCAATGTAATAATTTCTAAAATATAAACAAAGATTAACATATTAAAAGAATAAATTTAAAAACCTCTTAACTAGAGTCTGATAAAACTATTGTGAGAGAGTATTTACTGTTGACATACTTGGGTTGGAGTTTTATGAAACTATTGTGTGAGAGTACTTACTGTTGACATATCTGGGTTGGAGTTTGGTAAAACTATTGTGCGAGAGTACTTACTATTGACATACTTGGGTTGGAGTTTAATGAAACTATTGTGTGAGAGTACTTACTGTTGACATACTTGGGTTGGAGTTTAATGAAACTATTGTGTGAGAGTACTTACTGTTGACATACTTGGGTTGGAGTTTAATGAAACTATTGTGTGAGAGTACTTACTGTTGACATATCTGGGTTGGAGTTTAATTAAACTATTGCTTGACAACATTATTTGATGAATATGATGAGCTGATGAAAGCAATGTTCGACTGGTTATTGAATAACCTTATTTTAATTAACATTAAGTGTTAACATGTTTAATGATAATGTTTTAAAACAAAACAATTTGTGATTAGACCCAAGTGGGGAGGTGGAGAACTTAAAAACAGTGAAAAGCTTATAAATGTTTAGGCAAGATGTCAGAACAATCTTACTTTTGTTGTCACCGCAACATTTTACTAAATATTTGCAATACTGTTTCAAGGAAGTTTCATCTATTATTTTAACCTGTATTTTTGAACTGTACCCAACTCGTTCTTTTTAGAATATCATATTCTAGAAACAGTTAGTAGGTAGTGTACAATTGTAAGCTGTTGAAGTGGAGAACCTGTGTGGTGAGTTGGCGATTCATCTTCATCTCCACATGAATATTTCACGAAAGTAATTGCATTTAGCACTCAAAACCGATCTATCGTTAAGCCTATCAATCTCGTGCATGTAAAAACCTTGTTTGTTTTTATTACATTTATATAATTTAGAAATATTTTGTAGGTAACCTCGAACATGTTTTGTGCCGGTTATTCACAAGAAACAAAACACAAAAAGGACTCGTGCAAGGGAGACAGCGGAGGTCCCTTTGTCATAGAACAGGACGGAAAGTGGTACCTGGTTGGAGTGGTCAGTTGGGGAGAGCAGTGTGGTCGTGTAGGAAAGTACGGATTTTACACAAAAGTGGCCAACTACATTCATTGGATAAAAGGAATTTTGAACTCCTAAGGGAGTCCAATAATTCTTGTAACTAACATAGTTCGCAACATATAAATCTTAATATTTTCTATGCCTTTGTGTTTTTACATGAATCGTGCATAGTATGTAACAAATAGATGGTATACATTGGTTACGTTAATAAAGCCAACTAAACTATGTTATTACTGTGTGTTGTGTATGCATGTGTTGGCCTTTATTTTGTAAATGAAGAGTTTGTCACTATTCTTTCAATTAGGACAATACATTTGGAACATAAGTGTAATCTAGATCATGCTTCTACTTATACACTTCTTTCTATTGTTTTTAACCTGTACTTTTTTACAGAATTAAACTGGAATGACATCACATTTATGCTTCCAATAAAATGTGTGATTTGCGCCGGAGATTTACAATTAAACTTTCATTACACAATAAAAAGTAAATCTGTGAAAAATTACCGGGATATCATTAAATAGGTATATCTTGTCTTTAACATAATCTGGATTAGGACGCTCGACTCGCAATCTACGGGTCGCGGGTTCGCATCCCCATCCCACCAAACATGCTTGCCCTTTCAGCCGTGGGGGCGTTATAATGTGACGGTCAATC